AATTATAGATCCACCACATGATTTATAGATACCAGTAGAGATGGAGTTGGAAATGACTCACGCTGGGAACTCCTACCGGACTCCTGTTGAGTAGCTTGACTGCCGCTAACTGTTCCAGGTTATGAAGAGACATGAAGATTCAGGATCAAGCACTATATTCCCAGAAATTCTAGAACTGTATACATTCACTCTAAAAATTCACATTTTAGTCATTTCAAAATAGGGAGATTGCTTGTATTAGATCATTTTTTTCTTTTACCTCATCCTAAATAGGGTAGATTATGAAATTCTGCCTCTCTCTCTCAGAGGGAGTATTCCAAATTTCCTAAGCACACCAGAATCAAATTACTTAAATTATGTCTATTTCATATTCTGAGTGCATGCATTTGCAATTAGCTATGTCAGGTATTTTTCTTTCATTTAATTTCATCATCATCAAGTAGTATTTATTAAGCACAAACCTGGCTAATTAATTTTCTAGAGAATAACACGTATTCTTAAATCCATTCTATTTAAGAGATCTTAAATAATCTGACACATGATATTTTTTCCCTTAGCAAAAATTACCTTTAAATTTTAATTTTTACCTTATTATTTCAAGTTTCAGTAGGACATATTCTACTCCCAAAGTCTGTATATTCAAATAAAAAATGTCATTCAGAATTAATATAACAGATTCCATAAGATTTTTATTCTTACTACAGCATACTAATATTCTATCTCAATTTTTTAAAAATATCACTGTTCTAGTTATATTTTTTTCTAAAAGTGATTCATTTTTAAGGTAGAAACTAAGAAATAGGTAGCTTAAGTTATTATACTCATTAGATGTAAAAATGCATTTTTTCTTAAAAATTCAGTTACTATAGTTCATGAAAAGCAAAGCAAAAGAAAGCCACTGATCTCAGAATTCAAAATGTTTAGCCACTGAGGATGAGAATATTGAAGGTCTTCAAACCTATCATCAAGACATTGTGTATGCTTTAGTGGAGGAAAGGAAAAACTAATTTTTATGTGGATTTGGGGAAAGGAGAGTATTCTTCTCAAGGTACTTTTTTTCTAACTGCAACAGAGACAATATTCCTTTTCATTTAACAATAACCACACTACCACATTCACTTTAAATTCCAATCACAGAACTGGAATTTTAGAAAAGCATCCTCAAGAATCTCATAATGCCACTTGGGTCTTAGTTCGTAAGACATTAAACCCGTAGACTTCTATCTAGTATTTTTGGGTTCTGGTAGCAATTACCCTGTACTTCAGCGGCCAATGCCCAGTAAGAATGACAGAAACTAAAACGGAACTACAAACATGCAATGCCTGTTACTGTTTAAGCAAATTGGCATCAATCCTCAGTCATATTTGGCTACTGAGGTCAATGGTCACTTTCTACTTTGAAAAGCAGAGCTCAAAGTGATGCTTCAGAAGGTCCACCAAGAACTCCGTGGGCTGAAGAGGTCTGAAATGGCAGATGTTGTGTCCTGACACAAGTGGGGAAGAGTTTCTGGGATTTATTTCTTGATACACAGAGTGGAATTTAAATATTAATGAGATTATGCATTTGGATAACTCTGAATAGAGTACAAATATTGTTCAGTTTGCCCCTCGAGCGAGAGGAATTCACTTCCAAGAGGGAATTTTAGAAGAGCCAGGTGCTTTCATTTTCAAACAGAGATTTACATCTCCATTAGAAATAACTCAAATAAGAGAGGAAATGATAGAAAGCAGTAGCCCAAGAGGTAAATAAAAACAATACAAATAAATAAAAAGAAAGAAAAAAGAGGCCCTCAATTATAGTCACAGTCACACAGTGGTTCGGGGGTTTTGCGTCTGGCAAGAAGTAGCCTATCTTTGTTTATACCAACGGAAGCCCCCAGGAGAATACAGCACACAGAATCCAAAGGAAGAATTTGGTCATACTTTTCAAAGTAGTTTAGTCTTCAAAAATCCACCTTCCCTAAAGGGAAAAACACCTTGAGAACCAATTAGTGGTACAAAGGGCCAGAAGAAAAACACTGCGCTCTGGCAGAAAGATTATTTTGTTGATTTCAGGTAAAAACCTAGGGCCAGATGCTAAAGTGGATGTTCCCCATGCCTATCCCCCCTTTGCCCCAGGGACACTGCAGTCTGTTACACTTGTATCTTCTCAAACAGGGACAGGAACAAAGTCTCAAAACAATTTTTGTAAGACATAATCCTGAATCACAGAACAGGTGGCAATTTTCTGGAGAGTAACAGTGGATTATTGCAACAGCCGCAGAAGAATAAAAAGATACTTCCTCTCTCTCTTTTTCTGGTTAATCAGATTTCTTGTGAGCAAAGCTTAGTCCTCTATCCTTTACTCTGCAAAAAGTAAACAAGACAAATGGATACTAAACATTCACAATAAGGCTAAATTCATGATTGATGCCTCTTACTGTTTAAGATCAGCTATAAAAATGCTGTCCAGTGGTTTTTAGTGGTGTGATTGTCTGACTCAGCAGACCAGTGTCAGGAAAGAAATTTACATAAATGGAAAGTGAAATCTTTCTTCAAGAAACAAGACTGTTAGAAACTGCTTAGGTAAGGAGATGCTCACTTACACAAACATGGATATACATATTAAACCTGCTCTCCAATATCTGCTTGAGCTTAAGTTATTGCCCATAAAGAAGCTAAGATGTTTGCTTTTAATTTCCAAAAAATCATTTCAGTTCCAATTTTACTTGGAATAAATTCTGCAAACAGGACTGTTACTAGGTATAAGAAGAATAATATCAATCTGGTATCCACAAGCATGACCAAGACTCATCCTTAAACACAGCACATGTTTAGATGGCTTGGCTAAGGGTGACAAGCATGATACCAGACAACTCCAGGGTAACAGCTCCTGATCTCTAGGAATATGAATGGATGAGATGAAGGAGGTTTCACTGCAGTGCAGTAGAGTGCAGGATCTGAAGTCAGAATGCCTGGGTTCAAATCTTAGTTCAAGCAATTCTTGGCTCTGTGACCATGGGAGAGGCACTAAGCTCTGTAATCTGCAATTTCCCTATGATGGAACGGCATGATAATCATCCACTGTAAAAATGAAGAATAAAAGTAGAGAATCCACCTAAAGTACTTACCACTGCATCCAGCATACATTAAGTGCTAAGCACAACAAAGGTTAATCGCTGCTATTGTTATTATTACTATTATTTTCCTTTTGCTCCTGGTTCTGTGCATCTGAGCAAGATGGGAGAGTTCGACAGACTGAACCACTGACCCCAATTCTTCACCTTTCTCTGGATTTCCACCTTTGCCACAGCCTTATCAGCGGTCGACTGTATTTCTCCAGGCCTTGACCTTGGACTCACCCACATGCCTGCTTTGGTCAGAGGCGCCCATGCATAAGTGTGTGTGTAGGTTGTGTGAGCGGATCAGTGCCTAGGATTTAAGAGGCTTCACTCTTTGCTGCTGGCCCTCTGCCACCTCAGGGCATGAGAAGAACATGCTCCAGCGAGCATGCTGGTCCAGGGGTAGGTGAGGTACACGGAGGACATTCAGACCTGCAGATGTATGGTGTGACAAGAGACACAGCAGCCTGAATCACAGCCCCTTCGGTTGTCCTGCAGAGCCATGAGGGGCGTAAAGGCTTACTGATGTATGTTACTGAAATTTTGTCATTGTTTATTATGCAAAAAAAATTAACTGATTCAAGGAGTACATTAAAAAGTTGTCTACCCACAATGAATTTCTTATTTCCCAAGGAAAAAGGCATTAGCTCAGTGTCTAGGTCTGAAACAAATGTGGAATGATAAGGGAGAAGAGACAAAGGCTTCAACAAAGCCAGGATTCCAGGACCAGAGATGCTCCTGTAAACTCTACTTAGGCCTTCTTGGCTTTTGTTTAGGGAGGGTCACGTGTGATTAACGTCAGATTATTTTAAAATGGCTAACATTTGTTGAAAGGTTCCCATAGGTACCGTGCTAGACAATATACATACAGTATCTCTCTTAGTCCTCCTAAGAGCACTAGGAGGTAGGCTCTATTAATTTTACTCATTTTACAAATGAGGAAACTGAGGCATACGGAGACAAGTAACTTGTCCACATTGACAGTGGGTGAGAGTAGTCTGGGCAGGATGCAAACTCAAGAAGCCTCATGGCATGGCATGAAATGATGATGGTGGGAGGAGAGCTGGTGATAAGGACAAACATGGTTTCCCCCCCCTCCAATCACTTTGCTGTTTTAATCACAGCGTGTGTGTTAATTTAATCCTTAGGACACTTGAATTAGGTGTTACCTATTATATGCACCCTCCAGAGATGAAGAAAGGGGAGCACTGCAGGTCAAGTTCCTCGCCCACTTTCCCACGTGGCTAGCACGTGGTGTGCTAGTTGGAGCACATGGAGCTGAAGCTGGATTTGAACCCAGGCAATCTAGTTAACCATTACACTATGTTAATAGCAATGATCACACTTCTCACCCCAATGTGAAAAGGCAGAATCACGTTCTTTCCTTTTTTTTTCTGGAAATCTGTAAGCTTTTCCAAGTTCAAAGGCAAACATGCATTCCTGGCACCATGGCTATCTTCAAGTGCATATAATGTGATAAATAACCTTTAATTTACACTACAATCATTCTCAGGCTCCACTGAGCTTTCATTCTTCCAAGAGCAATTTCCTTATTTGCTGCTTTCATGTTGACTTGATTTTAGTTTTGTTTTTATGAATGTATTTTTAGGTTCAACTCTGTCAGGTTACAAATTCAGAGGAATCTTAACAGAGTGATAAAAGGAATGGGAGAAAGAGTAGTAATCATGATGGGTTTAGAGAACAATGTCTAGAAAATAAAACTAACCACACAGAGTGTGAACGCAGATGATTGTTGCCCAGATCTGTTCACACATACACTTCCTGCACCTGCAGGAGAGCCTCGTGGTCTCATGTCTTCAGACACTCTCTCCACCCAGTTCCCAAACAGCGACATCCCAAGCACCTTCACACTGACATGCAGACAGCAGTCCTACTGACCTTGAAAGCAGCACCTCCATGGATGATGGATTTGATAAAAATTCCCAAGTCCGTTCCAGTTTCTCGAGATTTGTTCCCTTTCAAGCTCACGCCAAGACCAGCAGAACCTGAATCATTCAGGGGGATCTCGAAGGTGAGTTGCTCAGTTGTTTCCAGTGAGAGTGCATAGCAATCAGGTTCTCCTTTCTGTTGAAGTATACATGGAAAGAGTGAAGGGAAGAAAGCGGATTAGTGTTTACACCCAAATGGCCAAACACAGAGGCAACTGGCAAGACAGGTTGATTGGACCTCTAACAGGCTGGTCTTCTCTCTCTACAAGGGGCCACCACCATGTCAGTGGGTGGTGGAAGAGTTCTTGAGAGTCATATTTCCTGATGGTCAACAGAGAGGATCCTTTGGCTAGGTGGAGTCATGCCATTTGAAACATCCTGAAAATATATGGAAATTCAGCAGAACAGTCTCAATAATTAAAGAGGCTGGATATTACTTAGGGGATCTTAAGTACCAGAAAAGACCTTAGAGATAAGGTGATCTTACTATCTTCATTATACAGATGAAGAAACAGAGTTTAGTGTAGAAACATGCTAGAATTTGGGGGAACTATTTGGCTTGTATAATTTAAAACACATCATTTACCATGGAAAAAATGTTCTTGATCAAGAATGTCAATTGGATAGAGAGAACTGAAAAAAATGTTATCTTAAACTTAGGGAAATGTGATTTATAATGAGAATCACTGAATTAAACTTCACTTTGTCTAACTCATGCCTTAAGTTTGCTTCTTTGATAGCATAACTCACTGGCAATCAGATTTTGAAGCTAAACAAAAATGATAATGCATGACAAACATTTGTGTCCACCTAGCCACAAGCACAGCTGTTCTCAAAAACACAGAGTAACAGTGTACGGAGGCAACAGGCACACTTAGGGTTCAAGTTTCCAGGGAGAAGCATAAGGTTAATCAGACTTGGCCCCTGATGTTTTCAAATATACAGCAGTGACTATAGAAAAGTGCTGTCCATATGACCATCTTTGCAGGTGTCCCTGCTGCATCCCTCCCAAGCTCGCAGAAACGTGAAACTCGGCCACAGTGTTTAACTGGAAAATTTGAAAATGAGATAGCCCTAGAAACCTTCAAATCATTCTAGGTCGGTAGTTCTTTCCTCTCTGTAATTATTTCTAGAAACTCTCATCTTAGGGTCACTTCTATAAAATTGCGTATTTTAAAAATGACTGTGAATGTCTGGATATGTCACCAAATAACTATAAAATCAGAACTCGCAAAGAACCCATAATTAAAACAGGATTAAGAGGCTGATCATTGCCAGACCCACTGACCTAGTATTTCCAACTCCTACCAAAATAGAGAAAACCCATGTCTACCTTTAAAGAAATAGTTCCTTCATTTAATTTCACTGTAAATGGAGTTAGCTATAAAAATTTGGACAATAGGTGGTTTCAAAGAAATGAAACTTTACTGCTTGATTTAATAAACCCCTTACTAGTTAGTTCTTTTAACAAACTCATTATATTATTATCTAAGAAGCAGCCCATTATTTGATTTAAAGTAGCTGCCCTTTTTTCCCCTCCATGGGAATGCCATAGTTAAACATGGAATGTAAATTGTTAGCCTTCATCTTTGTCTTCTAGAATGTCCTATTTAGAACATTTGATAATCATTTATGTTTCCCAGTCTCTCTGGGGTTTGGTTAATTTTAGTCTAATAAAGTTCCACTGAATTAAAGTACAAATTAAAGAACAGCTGTTCTTCCTAGAAGTTTGTGAACACCATTTTAGAGGAAGACTAGAAGCTTCTTTGGCTTTTTATCTACTAGAGACAAAATGACACCAGGCCAAGTTTTGCTTGAGTAATATTTTCAAACCACTTTATTCTGTGATCAAATATGATTTCTTTGGCAACTGTATTTAATTAAGATTGACAATCACTATTTGTACCAACACCTTTCATTTATTACATATGTGGTAAAACAAAATAGAAACCAAGTCATTTATGGCTATCTTGTCATTTGTGTGTATGTGTTATTTCATTTTTTTAAGTTTTGTTTTAATTCCAGTTAGTTAACACACAGTGTTATATCAGTTTCAGGTATACGATATAGTGATCCAATACTTCCATACATCACCCCCTGTGCTCATCACAAGTGCGCTCCTTCATCCCCATCACCTATTTAACCCACCCCTGCACCGACTTCCCCTCTGGTAACCATCAGTTTGTTCTCTATAGTTAAGGGTCTGTTTCTTGGTTTGTCCCTTTCTCTCTTTCTTTTTCCCTTTGTTCATTTGTTTTCTTAAATTCTACACCTAAGTGAAATCATATGATTTTTGTCTTTCTCTGACTTATTTCACTTAGCATAATACTCTCTAGCTCCATTCACATTGTTGCAAATGGCAAGATGTCATTCTTTTTGTGGCTGAGGAATATTCCATTGTACACATATACCATATCTTCTTTATCCATTCATCAGTTGATGGACACGTGGGCTGTTTCCATAACTTGGCTACTGTAGATAAAGCTGCTATAAACATCAGGGTGCATGTATCCCTTTGAATTAGTATTTTCGAATTCTTTGGGTAAATACCCAGTAGTACAATTCCTGGATCATAGGGTAGTTCTATTTTTAACTTTTTGAGGAAACTCCATACTGTTTTCCAGAGTAGCTGCACCAGTTTGCATTCCCATCAACAGTGCAAGAGGGTTCCTCTTTTCAGTCCCTGATATACCTGACATCCAGAAATAGAACAACAAAAACAATCTAATGGCTAACAATGGTTCTAAGTGCTTTACACATATTAACATACTTAATCTTCATAACAATCCTATGAGGAATATTATTATGCCCATTTTACAGATGAAGAGACTGAAATGCACAGCAGGTAAGTACCATGATTACAGTCCATGAGACTTGACAGTGTTGGAGTTTTGTGAGGTCCAGGCAGTGTGGTTCCTGTGTCAGACTCTTAACTGCTATGCTACGTCTCAACCTCTGTGAACCACTATGACTTGGCCTACTCACAAGAAATCCCAAGACTGATTCCCACAATGACAGTGAGGCACAATGCAATTTCACGTATTCTACTCAACTATAGTTCTGTTTTATATCTTTCTGACACTATATCGGGCTCAAGGCATAATAGTGGCATTATCATTGCTATTCACCCAATGGTGAAGGAAGCCATTATAGTAGTTAACATAGCCATTTCCTCTATTAGAAATAAATGTCCCTTTACCTAATGTACAAAAAAATCAATATGCTGAATGCCTTCCTTCAATAATCTTGCTTCAACAAAGAACTCTAAAAATTAAACTCAAATCTTGCCAGAACACATTTTGGAGAAGAGGAATTAAGGCCTCACAAATGCCCCAAATGCAGGACCTTAGCGATAGGATGATCCCAAAGGCAATGACATATCCACATATCCACACTTTGGATCCTTCCTTGCTTCCTATCTTTCAGACAAGAGCTCTTTCTACAATACCCCTTGCTTTTTACACTCACAATTATCCAGAGGGGGGAAAAATCGAGATGCTGGCATAAGAAAGGAAATCTTGTGAATTTCATTCATTTTTTTTCCTTTCATTATTTCTTATTCTTTGCCATAGAGGCCATGTCTCTAGGTACAAAGTCTGTGAGGTTCCTTGAGCCAGGCCCAGGATGGATGCCCAAATGCCCCTAGTGCATATGTCTTGGCCTAATGCCCGGGTACCCACCCCAGTGCCAGCCTTTCAGGGTCCACAACCAAAGCTTTCTCAATCTCAGCAGTATTGAATTTTGGGGCCTGGTAATTCTTTGTTGTGGAAGGTGTCCTATGCATTAAAGGACAGTCAGCAGAATCTGTGGCTATTACCTACAGGATGCCAATAATACCTCCTTCCCCAGTTATGATAACCCCAAATGCCTCAGACACCGCCAAATGTCTCCTGGGCTCAAACTCACTTCCAGTTGAAAACCACTGCTCTGTACAGTCAACTTTAACTGCCAAGTACTGTCAAATTTAAGGCAACTGCCAAGTATAGTCAAGTTTAAGGCAAGTAGGGTCCAGAGAAGTATTTGGGATTGCAGTGCTGCCTGCTGATATGTTCCCAAGTCCTAGAAATGGACTCAGTCTCAGGCTACAGGTTTGTGACTGACCAATTAGTTGGTCACGGAATTCTGCACTTAGTTATGCCTCTGGTTGTATGTCTCTGATTATTTGGCAGCTAATTTTCTAGGGGCAGAAATACAGTCTTTGGGGGATTAACAGAGTAAGAAAAGTGATAAATATTGAATTTATTGTTATATATACAAAATGCTGACTTTTATTAATATAAGCCAGAAGAAAAATTTAGCCCATGAAATGGTGTTTGTTAGGTGAGTTATGCTTCTGTATATGCTGATTTGTACTTTTTTTATTTATTAAGAATCACAGACTTCTATAAAATAGTATTAACATAAAGACTTCTACTCATTTGAGAACATAACATTAAGTATAATAATGTATGTGCACAGTACATATATAGTTCAACTATATAACATATACACTATCTACATACTGACACCTACCCATCTACCTATTACCTACCTGCCTCACAACCCTGTGAGGGTTGTCTATCCGCATATGTGTATATGTCTGCATAGAAAAAAAAGATAGTTATCCACTGGCACTGCAATATGGACCACAGTTTCCTTCTTTACAATTCTTCTGTGTTTTCTAGACATTTGTCCATCATTATAAAAAGATAAATATAAAAAGATAAAAGATAAATGTTTTTGAAAGGAATTTATGAAGGTATAAGAACCATTTGCTGTATTATTGCACGGCCAACTAGAAAGATGTAAACACATCTCCATAATGACACACACACATGTTTACACATATGCATTTCTAATAATACCTATACTATATGTAATATGTATTGCCCTATAGTAGTATATATACTATATGCATTCTTTAAAACTACATAGTATATAATGTGTATGTGTATTCTCTCTATACATATATATGCATGTATGTTTATGTGTGCATGTATGTGTGTAGTACATTGATATCCCTCTTAGATCGCCAATGACTTCCATGTTACGAAATCCGATGGTCAATTGTCATCTTTTATCTTTCCTGATCTACAGGAGCATTAGACCAAATTGATGAAGCCCTACTTTTTGAAATATTTTCTTTTCTTGGTCCCA